TTTTTTTGTCATAACTTTCTCATTCGATCTCAAATTGAGTTGATTCAAAGTTCGTTGGAAAGCTAACTTAAATGTTTATAATTATTGTAGAAGTTTTTCCAATTCAAATGTATAGTATGTCAAAAATGGGTCAAGATCTCCGGATAAAAATTTGGAATATAACTTGTGTAGTTGAAAATTGATTTGTGAAAATATTTTAATAATATATCACCTATTTGACTTCTACTTGCATCCAATTGACTCCTATCAATCTTCAATTATCATTATGTGATCTGAATCAACCATTGGATATTTACAATTTTCTCCCCAAACTTTACATTTTGTTTTTTTCGCCATTTTTTCGCTTCTTTCTTTCAATCTAGCTTTCTATTATCGAGTTTTACCTAATAAACAAAATATACAATAATCAAAGCACTTTCCTCTTATAATACATCCTAGTCATCCGAGGTAAGTGTACTATATCAACTCTCCAGATTTGCTCGTTTGAGGCGATGATGTCAAGTCCTATCTCCTCGTCTACTTTTTCTTCGAAGGAGTTAGAAGCACAGCTCAACGCCTTGTTGTATTATACTATGCAGCGACGCAACTCCTTGTAATGTCCTTGAAAGTTAGGAAGAGAAAACTCAAAAAAGTCATAAATATCGATCTTAGAACTTTTGGGGAGGCCATGGAAGCAACAAATTTTGTTTAAGTCAATAATCTGACTAAAAGTTTGACGAGTGTCATAACGCAAGAGGGGATCAAGACTGACATGCACTCGCTTCGTGATTGCCTCTAGCACAATGACATTCCTCAAATATTAGATCTTTATCTGACTAAGATACAAAAATTTATGACCCAAGACGTTACATAAAATCGTTGCAATCATTACAAGCACCTGAACATAAAATCTTAATAGTAATAGTAAGAAATAATGATGAAAATGAAATGGGAAAGGAAATTGAAGTGTAAAACTATGATGAAATTACTTGTTCGTAGCATGCTTGTTTATATGAAAAATTTTAAAAATATTTAAATTCAAATAAATTTTTTATTTCAATGGCAGACTACCATTGATTTTTCAAGGATAGATGGTCTATCATTAGGGGTGAACACGGTTGGATTTGGATGGTTTGCAACAAATTTTCAAACCAAACCACTTAAAACGATTTGAAACCAATCCAAACCATATCAATTTCTAAACCAAACTAGTTCAAACCACTTTTTTCGATTTGGTTCGGTTTAAAACCACGATTTAATAAAGAAAAAATAACATATATTAAATAAGTTAAATCATAAATATTAGTCTAAAATTTTACATTAAAACATAAATTATATTATTCAAAATATTACAAACCAAAACTCTATAATTCTAATTATTATAATGCAACAATATTGTAGAAACATTTAACTCGATATTAATGGAGTAACACCTGCAATTGTAACACATGATTCATTCTTTCCATGAATATAAGAATATAGTACATGAATTCATTTACTATAGTTAAATTATATGAAACAATTAGTAAAGGAAAATGATAGAAAGATCAAATACGATAATACCTTCTATAACATTTTGTGAATCACGCAACGCTTCTATCTCATCCAAATATTGACGAATTAGATCATCGCCTCAATCATATTTTGTATTCAACAAACTTCTAAAAGAATCAAGAATCCGACCACTAATAGGAAATGCAGACTCAAAAATAATTGTGGATATATGAATAGCTAACATATCTTTAGCAATTTGGGAGGACAATCTTTGTATTTATTTGTATTGAATTTTTACTGAAGTAATATATCAAAAGACTCATTGGTCAAATCTCAAAACAACCATTTAATTAATCTACAAGATCATTCTAGCAATTATTAGTAAAATATAGAAATTAAGTTGAAATATAAATACTCAATTATCCGACCAGAAAATTGAGTTGCAAATAAATATTGAATGTTGTCCACTAAAAATTTAAGGGAGCATGGCACAACTTAGAACAAAACAACACAAAGTATAAAAAAATAGCAAACAATTACCAAAATATAAAAAAAATTGGATAATCTGATCTGGAAATTTAACCGAATTTAGAGAAAATTATTAATAAAATAAAAAAAAGAAATGCGTGAGTTTAAATTAAAATCTAGATATAATTGTTTACTCAATCATAATGGACGGACGATTAATATGGTTCAACTCTAATTGTTCAACACTTCATCCAATTTGAGAGTTTTGAATTCACATTTGTGTTAGATACACATAAAGGGATGGACAATTATCTATTTAGGTATTGATTTTAATTAGGTTATGCTAAATGAATGTATCTTTTTAACTGGGATGTGCTTAATTTTAACTAGGTTGTATAAAATTAAAATTAATTTTCAATTTTTTGGTAAATGGTTTGGGAGTTTGAAACTGTTTGCAAAGATTGAAATCTAAACCAAATCACTTCAAAAATGTTGGATCGGTTCGGAACCAAAGCATTTACAGATCCAAACCAACGGTTTTGAAAAAGCAATTCAGTTCGATTTTGCAGTTTGACGATTTCGTTGTTTAGTGCTACGTATCATGCGTTATTTGCCCATCTCAATGGCATATGCCATTGAAATCTGCCATCTGAATATAAGTATGAAAAGTCAAGCATGTTGTCAGCCCCTCCACTCCTTTTTAGTAGGCGAGCTAGGTTCGCGATCTGAGAATGAGATCGGTTCGCTCATTCACGAGTTGGTTGCGAGTCGAGCCAATGAGTGCTCATAGTTCGCTCGACTGCAAGCCAAGCCAACTCGGCTCTTCAATGGGTCTTATTTAGTCAACGAGAGGTTTGCCACACTTCCCACCCTAAATATACGCCTACTTATCGAACAATTAAACTATTTGATTGTTTTTCACCTATAGGATGGCTAATATGGACGATAATTCTTGTCTTCTAATGCGTATGAGAAAAGGCCGAAATGGTTTTAAACGATCTTATAAAAATTAAAATCAAAATCAAACCATTTCGTTAACAGCAATAGCATTCTTAATGGGTTAGAGTTTAGGAATAAGGTAGTAAAATAGTCTCTTTTTTGTAATTTTCTTTCTTTTAGTTTTCATCATTAAGTTTTTTAGTTACATATAGTGTTTTTTGTATTTTAAGTGCATTGCACGTTACTTTTTAGTCTATGGCATCATGTCATCAATGAATTGATTCTACATCTCTGTTTATGTTGTTCGTGTTCACGAAAATATATTTCGGATTAAAATCACTGCAAATGTACAATTCGTCGTTAACAAGTAATAAAGTGGACTTATTGAGTCCGAGTATCGTCCCACTAGTTCAATTCCTATTACATTAACCTTAACCGAAACCAGAATAGAATTACGTGTTTGTTGGGATAAAAATTATAACAAAAATAATACTAAGTATGCAATTATAAATGATTTAACTAAATTAAATGCAAACGCCGTTAAATGTAATTTGAAGTTTTCGAATGTATGATGAATGTATTAAGATCATGAATCCCTAAGTAATAATCTTTTCATATTGACGAATCAATGCTCTAATTTATTTAACAATCTCTCTCGAGTAAAGTCAAACATATTCTCATATGTTACCCGACTACATCGCTATGACATATGCAAACATACAAGAATGCATGAGTTTTTGTGAACAATTAACGATTCACATAGGGCATAATAGTATATTTCTATTTTCTATAGAACCCTATGATGATATATATCATATCGAATATATTTCCCTTCTTTCAAATGCATGAAATAGATCACAACACTCACACAATTAACGTGCACAATAATCGTGGAGAAAATAAATCCATATAAACCATTCAACCAGTCAAAACGTGTTTTTATTGTCAAGAATGTAAAACTAAGAAATAAAAATCATATTATATAGTTTATCGTTCTTTAGTACATAATTAACCTAGCTTAGCATGATGGAAAGAAGAAAATCAGAAAAACAATGAAAAAACGACATCACAAATTGAATTCATGACTTTAATCTTCACTTCGTGGTATTGTTGTTCGCATTATTGCTCTTTTTCTCCTCTCAAAACCCTTATATATATGTTTTTTAGGTCAAAAGGAGGTCTCCCCCCGTGTTGTGGTCGAGTTTGGTATATATAGGATGCCTAAAATCTTGTTACCAAATTAGAGTTTCAATTGGAAAATGAAACAAAATCTCGCCAAAAGTTTGTACTATGTGACCGCATAGTACATTTATAAAGCGATCACATAGAAGGACGTCCAACCATCAATTTTGGCCCCAGAATGCATGATGCGGTCACATCAAATTAGATCTATGCAGCTGCATAGGTATACGTTTTTTTTCCACCAGATAGCCTTCAATATTTCAAAAATGGGTCTCAAATTGAGACTGAAAATTCGAAGCATAAAATTTTCGGCTGAAAATTGATATGTGATAGTATTTGGACTATATTTCATCCATTTGGCTTCTTTCCTCATCTAATTGATGTCTAACACTCTCAAATCTTCATTGTAAGGTTCNCTAACACTTTCAAATCTTCATTGTAAGGTTCGACGTAACTTTTGAATATTTGTATTTCAGTACCTGAACTTTGTATTTGATACAATTGAGTCATTTTCTACTATCTTTGCATTCTTTTCTTCAATTCTTTATCAAACATTAAGTTTTACCTACAAAATAAAATATAATACAAGTTAGTTAGTTAGTTAGTATTTTATCTAAAAAATAGTAAAATATCATCATTGACGACCTCGAATAAGTGTAGAAACTACACTTATTGGTTCGTATAATAAAGTTTCATTTTTAACAGTCTAGTGATCAGTCATGCAAATAATTTTTTTCCTTATTATTAATAGATGGTAGAAAATTAAACACGTTCCACTAATTACACCTTAAATTGAATTTAATGATCTTTCGTATGTTACGACTCTAACATCCCATTTCCTCAAATTCAAATTTTAACTTGATAATTCAATTTTCAATATAAAGGGAGATTATTTTGGTGGGTTCAAATTCAAAATGCAGATGCAATATTGTAAGACTATGGAATCAAAAGAGAGTGGTGAAAAGACGAAGACGAGCAGCTTTAGCTTTGATCTTGTAGACGACAAGATTAAGCTTATTGATATATCAGTCGAAGATGATGAGTTTCTTATCAGTTCTCCCATGTTTGATTCTCTTGAAGACCTTCGTCTTTCAGGTTCTCCAAGTATACCTTTCGAAACTATGGAACCGTGTAGGCCAAGTTTTGCTTGGGATACTGCCTTTTTCAACTGTGCAGGTATTTTGTTTGCAAATAATATGTCCCATCTGGCAGTATTAAAGAAATTAAAATCTTGTCTATTATGTTGTATAGGTTTTCTTGATCCAGATGAACTGTCCTTCGTGAATAAAGAGTTCGATACAAATTCAACGCATATACTACCAGAATCCAGATTAAAAGGTGATGAATTATCTTTCAACTTCTTTTCGTTTAGATTTTATAACGTTATGTTTTTTTTTGCAGCATTCAAAAATGTTAACATGGCCTCTAAACAAAATTCTCAGAGGAAAAGCAGCGATCTTAAGAGATTGAGAAAGATAAAAAATGAGGTTTGTTGTAATAGAATGCCCAAATATTTGCTGGTGTTGTGTACAGAATGCCTTACTCGACTACATACCTCTTCTTTAACGTGTATATTTCAATTCTACTGGCAGTTTTTACTACTACATGCAACTATGTCAAGTTTTCTGTCATTCTTCTGGAAAATTAGCTTTATCCAATAACTAATGCCTCTGAATTTACTTGATGGTTAAAGAAAACTGGTAAAGGAGGAGAAGCTGCAATATGCTCTTGCAAGCCACCCAAGGTAACATCAAGTGGGAAGAAAGATATTTTGACCAAGCATAGAAAAGGAGACTCGTTAGGAAGATCTGATGCTACAACTTCTTCTGGTAAGAAGTATATATAGAGATTTATCCAATGCTTCATACCAAAAATGCACTGAGTGTGTGCAATTTTACAGGGTCAAGTTCAATCACAACGGAGAAAGCTTCTAGCCACAGTTCATCCCTTCTTACCTCTACCTCTCTGTCGTCTTCTGCAAAAGCTTCACCTATTTCCAGTGCATCTGTCAGCGTTTCAACCCCTCGAATTCCTTCTAGCCTTTTGAGTAAGAACACTGAATCGAAAAAGGGTGAACTGTCCATTTCTCATTCAACGTCCATGATTCTGGAATATTCAGAGAAGAAAAGCAAAGGGCTTGGAAAAACTAGTTTGTCGACTCGTTCATTGTCTGCCTTAGATCGTTCTTCTTGCACACCTCCTGCTAGGTGGAGCAGTAATTCTTCCTCTGTATCATTGTCGTCGTCCTTAAGAACCAATCAGAAATCTAAAGTTTCAACCACAAAATTCAGTCACGCTTCCCAGAGCAATGACGCAAAAGTAGCACCAGACCTGCAGATTAATTCAGGCAGTTACTTGTCTCATTCTCCGCAATCTCAAGAAACAAGGTCCTCTGCTGAATTTAGTTTTCGTGCTCTAGAAGAATTTCATTGTGTTGGTTCAGAATCACCGAAAACTGTCAAAGCATCTGGACTGCGAATGCCATCCCCAAAGATTGGTTATTTTGATGAGGTCAGTTTTTCTAACATTTTACATTTCCGTCTTAGCTAGAATTGAATGCAACTACTAGGCATATTGAATTTTGGAATGCAGAGCACATCTCCTAGTTCGACCAGGATAACGGAAAGAAAAGCAACTCAAAAGATTTTATCAGAAACCGTGAAAACAAAGCTCTATTCTCTGGGCACTGAACTGTCAAGAATTTCCCTCGGACATACTGATTCTTACAAAAAGCCGAAAAATCCTTACTTGGAAAGATCTAGGACTCCTACAAGCTTAAAGACAGCTCCAAAGGTTCGGAATAATCATGTGACGGGGAAAGGAATTTGCTCAGAGTCCCGGAAAACTGGTGACGGCAAATGTCTTAGGAATAAGGTTGGACAGACTTGTATGTTGGAAAAAGAGAAAAGTATCAAGGGCTTGATGAGGAACAAGAGGATCAAAGTAAGTAAGGGACCAAATGATGACACTTGTCTCCGCTTTAAAGAGTCTGACTTGATCAAGAATGTGACAGAAAATGGTAGCCAATTTGGCGATCTAAGCATATATTTTGAAGCTATTGATCTGAACCGGGATAAGGTGATGCCACTTAAGAACAAAAGCAAGTGCTTGCCTTTAAAGTACGATAACAAGATAGTACAAACACGTGATGAAAAGGATCGTGTATGCGATCAGCAGCTGGATTCACCTAAAACTTCTTTAACCTCTCCATCGACTGTTGATTTTAAAGCAAGGACTAGAACTCCACTTGCGGAGAAAACATCACTTTGCAACAGAAGCAAGACATTTTTGTCCCCTTAAATATTTCTCTAGTTATCTATATGAATCTCATAAGTTGCTCATTCAGTGTCTAATGCACTGCAGAACCACTAACATTTTTTTGCTGATCCATTGCAACAATCTCCATTATTGAATGCTTATGCTTGAATCTTATTGATCTGCCACTTTCTAAAGGGATTTCTTTTCTTTTTCTGTTTTCCATTTGAATTTTCTGTTGGGAAGGGAAGGCGTGTTTTTTATTTGATTGTTCCTCTTAAGAGCAATAACATATGGTCTCTAATGATAGTTTCTTTATGCATATAGGATTGCATTGAAATGATGGACACATATCACATCATACTTTTTTTATATTATGTAGTACTTTTTAGGGTTCTATGTCTCATTTTTGTACATGTACTATTTTTGCTAATTTTAATTTAAGAGGGACAAAATAAGTCTTTTATACCTGCTTAAAAAACTTTTTGGATAGAAAAAGTGATTAGGAATACAATATATTAACTGAAGATAAGAATGCGAAGAAAAAAGTTGAGAACTTGAGTATAACAATGAGCAAAAATTGGACTTTTAGTACAATTAAAAAGTAATGCAACTATAAAAATGGTTGTGACAATGTAATTATGTCCTTTACTTTTTATAAAGGTAATAATTATGTGCAAATCAAAAATTTTGTTTGTTACATTATATTTTAATTGTATTTAAGTTCATCTATCCTTGCTTATAGAAACATTATGTCCCTAAGTTTTTCAATTGAATTCTTATCTTCAACCTTCTATTAACTGACATATCTTTTTTTTTAATGATGATTTCTATTAGAATATTATCTTTTTGTGTTCGTCCAAAAAATGTCTTTTTACCGTATACAAAAATGACCTTATCACTTGTCTTCCTCCTGGATATTCTCTTACAACTGCAATAGTCCTTTTTATTTTCTTTTGTATTGTCATTGAAATGCAAAACTAACCTTGGGGAAAAAAGTATTTTAAGTGAATTAATTTCTCACATTTTGTGAGTTGTCTCATAACTTTAGAGGGTTTCAACTTTCAAACTACGTTCTTTTTGTTATCCGTAACTGTTAATGATAATTAACAATTGCGTTCATTTCACCAATCATCAACCGAAGTTTGTGCAAAATTTCAAATTGGTCCTATAAATATTTTCTCACCTCTTAGACACTGAAATCATTAACAGTTCCACGATTGTTCAGTCGGTTACTAAAACTAATTTATAATCTAATGCGACACTAAGATTTCTTAGATAAAATATATGCAAAAAGGCTAAAGTTTCACACTTCTTCATTTACTAGGTGCAAGGAACGTGCAATGCATGTTTGCTTAGTTTATATTAATATTTTTGTTTAATAATTAATTTGTTATTAATAAAGATGTAATTTTTTTTTGGTTAATTAAGGGCGTGTCTGGGCGCGCTGCAAGGAGGAAGGAAAATTGATTATGTTGCCATTTTTTTTCAAACCTACAGCCCTACAGTGAGAGAATTGATCCAAAATTGCGGCTCCCAACGACATGAATTGTGTTGCCAACGGCTTGATTTCTGCTGAAAAGCAGAAACAGACACCCTATAAATAATTAATGATGTAATGTTTATGTAATTGATAAATAATTAGACGTGTGATTTTGATATTGTGATGTAGGTTGGTGAGATTGAAGAAAATAAGCAAAAGTAGACAAATTTGGAGAAATGGCTAAATTGTAAGGGATCCAAAGTTTGGGGGTTAAAATGTAAATACTTAAAAGTTGTGTCGAATCTCACGATGAAGATTTGAGAGTGCTCGGAGTCAATTGAATAAAGGAAGATGTCAAGGGGATCAAATTTAGTCAAAAGATGATCATAAATCAATTTCAAACCGAAAAATTATGCTCCGGTGTTTTAGTCTCATATTGAGACCTATTTTTGGCATAGGAAGTGATCGAATTGGAGAATGATGTCTGAATTAAAGTTGTAGCCAGATGAGTTAGCTTTCCAACGCATTTTGCATCGCCTCAATAGGATATCGGAATACAAAGTTATGATAAAAACACTGAAAGAAGGTGCAGCTGCCTGTTTAAAACAAGAAATTCCGTTACATAGTCCGTTATATTGAGACATATTTTTGGCATAGAAAGTGATCGAATTGGAAAATGATGTCTGAATCAAAGTTGTAGCCAGATAGGTTAGCTTTCCAACGCATTTTGAATCGCCTCAATCGAATATCGAAATACAAAGTTATGATAAAAACACTGAAAGAAGGTGTAGCTGCCTGTTTAAAACAAAAAATTCCGTTACATAGTCCGTTATATTGAGACATATTTTTGGCATAGAAAGTGATCGAATTGGAGAATGATGTCTGAATCAAAGTTGTAGTTAGATGAGTTAGCTTTCAAACGCATTTTGAATCTTCTCAATCGGATATCGAAATATAAAGTTATGATAAAAATACTGAGAGGTACAGCTGCCTGTTTAAAACAAAAAATTCCGTTACATAGTCCGTTATATTGAGACATATTTTTGGCATAGAAAGTGATCGAATTGGAAAATGATGTCTGAATCAAAGTTGTAGCCAGATAGGTTAGCTTTCTAACGCATTTTGAATCGTCTCAATCGAATATCGGAATACAAACTTATGATAAAAACACTGAAGGAAGGTGCAATTGCCTGTTTAAAACAAGAAATTCCGTTACATAATCCTTTAAAACAACAAATTTCGTTAGTTTTCCGTTAAACCAATAAATTCCGTTAAATAGGCACTTTTTATATATAGAAAGATATCGTGGTTCATGGTCAGGTTAAATGACAAAGGGCTTCAGTGCAACGAATTGTAATTGACATCATTTTGACAAGAAAAGGCATGTGGGTACCTGATGATGATACTGCAACCTCACAAGATCTGCCATCTTATAGGCTTAAATGAGCAGGCTTTGGTCATGCTTTATTTACAGTTATGCATTTGATTGGAAAAATTTCCATGGAAAATGGACTTTTTTCTAACCGAATTCCAGCTTTTGGAGTGTTAAATAGCCATTTTTCTTATAAAAAATATTTTTCAACTTTTGAAAATATGTCTAATTTTCCTTATTTTTGAGGAAAACATTTTATTTGGGGGCATGCAATGTAGCGACAGAAAAAAAAAATGTTGTGTTTCGTTTTAAAAGAATTTTTCTTTTAAAACTCGAAAATAATTTGGGTTATATTACTACGTCGCTGCGACACTTCCTGAGAGTCCAAATTAAAGTTTTGATCACAATAGTAATGCTATGAATTTTAATTTAAAACCGCAAATTTCTTATTTTGTTAAATTATCGCCTGTGTTAAACCCATAAAATTAAGATTAGATAACTTATTTCATAGTGCCAATAATCCAAATTTCAGCCATGAATTTTAATTCCTTCTCATCCCTCAATCTGACTTTTCTTTTTCTCCACTAAGCAAACCATTTAATTTTTTTTACCATCCACTAAGTGCGATAACCATTCCAATCATTTAATACCCATTACGTTAATTAGTAAAAAAAACTGTCATTTCATTTGAAAAGCAAACCTGCATGTTGTCTCAAAAATTCCCGTTTATACACATAATATTTTGTTTACCATTTGTTTTTAATTCCATTTTGGTTACTGGCAATAGCCATTTTCATTTTGTATTTGAAAAACAATAACATCCTACAACCCCTAAAGCCACGTTTTCTCTCCCAAACTATTATGCCTATGCATAAAACTATTTTGCACTTTTCCCATAGACTTAAGGTACTTTGAATCTGAATTTTTTTTTGAAGGAGAGGCTAAGAGTACGCTGCATTTTATTACAAATTGGATGCAAAATGATATTCAAATTCCAAGCATTTAAGGTAAGGTGTTTTCGGCACCTTTGTAGTGAAGTAAAAATTAATTGTTTCCAGTTTGCATTAAACGTGTTATTGTGTTACTCGTGAGAAAATGGAAGTACCATTTGGTGGTTCAAATAAAAGATGAAGAGATAATTTTTGTTACTTGAAAGGGTTATGAAAACCTAAGAGTAAACAGACTGCTCTTTAACTTTCTAGTAAAATTTCAAATTATGTAAATCTCTTATGAACAGTTAGATGATATGTTTTTATGTTTAATTGTCTATTTTGTCTAGTTTTTATATACATTGCGTGTCAACTATAAGTTAGAAATGTTGGATTGACTATGCATGAAGTTTAACTACTGTTGAATTAAAATTTTATATTTTATACTCTTACTTAAAATGGTATAACTTCGGCCATAGTACATGTTTTAGAGTAAAATCAGTGGGGTTTAAAAGGTTTACGAGTTTTCTAATAGTTCTCTTTAGAATTACATTAAAATATTATCTAGAGAAAAAGTTGTGTCTGTTTTAGTAGACTGCGTCGGGTCAATTTCGAAATAATGTTCAGCGTAGTTGAAAAATATATCGTTGAGACCCCAATTTTTATATGTTGTACTTATATGAATGTTATAGGCTTTATTAAATTTTAGTCGACGTTTGTTAGGACAAACATATTTTTCTCTCAGTTGCTGGGCAACCGGTATTTGCTGAATTTCCTCTAGATGTTTTTCAAAATCAAATTACACCATAATTGTCTAAGTCTATATGGACAAATATCTTCCATTATTTTTATATATTTCAAATCCAAAATTTTTATTGTAAACCCCCAATTAAAAGATTTTTCTTGTAACGCTTCAAATTTCAAGAATTTGGGGCGTTATAACTTGGTATCAGAGCATGTTTATTTTCTGTAGACTTGCATTGGAGACCATATCTTAGGAGTGTTGTGTCACATATAAAATTGATCAAATTTTTTTAGGATCCTGAACACTGTGCTTGCCATAGCCGCGCTATGTCGATTTTGAGGTAAAGAAGTTTTTTAAATATACTTGTATCGATGTGATGAATATGAGAAAGATTATTCTAGATTCAACATTTGAAATATATGTATGAATATTAGTATGTGTTTGAGTTTGAAGACTTTTTGTAGATAATCAAAATTGTACAAAGTATTTTAAGAATGTGATCAAATTCAATGTTTA